CTTCCCTGTGTTATGGAGAAGCCTAATTGCCAGCCTTCTGCCCCATGACTATGGACCTAGTGTGTATGACGATTTGACTATGTCTGTGGGATCTGAGCGCTGTTTGGATATATTGAGCGCTCAGATCCAAGCCATCTGGGGATAGGTTGAATGTGGGGGTTCTGTTCAGTATGATAGTAGTTATGTATTTTTGTGTATTTTTGCTGTTGTTGTGAATGGAGATATTTTCTGTACCTGGAGATAGTTGGCTTACCACACCCAGTTAAGCCAATTATCTCCAGGATAGAGGACTCTGTGGAACTGGTTTGGGCTGGAAAGCCATGCTTCAGTTGGTCACAAAGGATTTCGACCTAACTTTTAAACCACTGGAGGGAATTGTCTGATTTTTGGATATGTTTGTATTTTAAGTGTGCGGAGTTTGAATGTTTTTATGAAGATTGGATGTATATTTTTAAAGTTACAGAATGTGTGTAAAAACTGTATTTTTCCTGCCTGTGATAATTATGTTAACCATTGTGTACCATAATTATATCACAGGCAGAGGGGGAGGATTTTGTGTGTAATTGCTGGGAGTGTTTTCTGTAATGTACGTGTGTTATTGTTTGTTCTGTAAAACCCTGTGAGTGGGCCTATGTAAGGAAAACCTGCATAAAAGAAGGCCCTTTGGGTGCCAATAAAACAGAATGACTTGACCCTCTAACTTGCAGCCTTGACTCATGTTTGTAGGGGACAGCTATAATCACTACAGGGATTGCTATGCTCTTCATACTCTTGTTCCTTCATACTCTTGTAAGAGCTCTTGTTCCTGATCCTGCTTCGCTCTACAGAAGGAAGAGGTTCACCTACTGGAACCTGGAGCCTGGTTGTAGGTCCAGTGTGGATAGCAGACGATGAGATCCTAGCCCAGCAGCGGCAGTTCGTGGAGTCTGCAGTGCTTATAGTGTCTACAGTGCTGATGGTCCTTTGGTTAGCGCTAGGAGCATCCTTTCTACGGTCCAGCTTCCAGCCAGCCTGGAGGCAACCATAACAAAAGGAAACATTTTTTTTTTGGTAAGAACAATAAGGATATGGGATTCTCTGCTTGAAGAGTTGTTTTATCAGACAGCAACTTGATGAATACTTACAAAAACACAAGATTCAGGGATATAATTTTTAATTTGTAGTAATAGATTCTTAATCCAAGGAGATATCTGATTGCCATTCTGGGGTCAAGAAGTATTTTTTCCCGAGGCAGAGCCATGCAACCCACCTGAATGGCCGCACGCCAAGCGAGCTCCGCAGCAAAAGAGCACTTTGGGCTAGCTAACGAGAACCCATCCCAACGAAACCGGCACCAAACCGACCCGCGGGCTGCCACCAAAGATATGGGCTGCAAAACCAAAAAGCCCAAGCCCGACAACCCACAGCAACATCATAGCAACGGCGACATGTGGAAGCAAACGCTTAGCACCCAAGGCTCAAACATGGCCGCCTACAACGACTACGGCTCGGATGTCTCCGACAACTTCACCACAAAGGCGGAGATGGAGCACCCACAATACCACCCCGCCAGTCACCCCTGAGACCAGACTCCTCACCGGTGACCGTCACGGTCATGAAAGACCTCCTAGCGGAGCGCCGACTACCAATACAGGCCGACATGGCCCAACTGCGCAAGGACTTACAGGGCCTAATGGGCCGCATAGGCACACTGGAGGAAGACTCCCAGGGCACCAAACAACAAACGCGACTTCTGCAGCATTTTACCAATGGTCCAAGAGCTTGAACTGCAGCATTTTATCTACGAGCAGCACATAGCAACATTAGAGGATCGGAGTCGCAGCCAGAACATCAAAATCCAAGGCACTGGAGAGGAGATACCGGAGACTGAGCTCCCACACACACTGCGGAGGCTACTACAAACACTCTTGCCTCCCAAGCGAGCCAGACAGGTGCCCATAAAAAACTTTTTTCGCCTACCACCAGCAACTAAGGCCCCAACAATGGCCCCACAAGACCTTCTGGTTCGTTTCCAAAATCACGGGGACAAGATGGCGGTAATGCAGGCCACAAGGAACTACTCACCGTATGCGTTTGAAAACATGCAACTCTTTTTCTACGCAGACCTGTCTGGGTCCACTCTGGCTTGGCGACGCACACTCCAACCCTTTACAGCCCTCCTACGCCAGCATAAAGTCACCTACCATTGGAGTGGTTTGCGCACACTACTTATCCACCACATGAATGCGGTCTCTGCCATCCGGGACTTGCAAGAGGCAAATGAACTGCTACCGACACTGGGACTTCCCTCGATGTCTCGTCTCCCCTCGGAGACCAGAACCACGCCGGCTCATGGCTCCATCTGGAACCCCGCAACGGTAGTCCCGTTTGTCCCTAGACAAGCAGAGACAGAAACCAACGCAGCAGCCAAAACCTGAGGCAGCCCTGAAGCCACCCGGTTTCTTCACCAGTATATTTTAGCAGCATCACTTACTGCACCTACTGAACTTGTGAACCAGTTTTAACGTGTTATTGTTGAAATCTTCTTGCAGCTTCTTGTTAAGGAGCACCCACACTAGCACTGGCAACCAAGGGCACTTTATAGCCATTTATGTATAGCTCCTCCGAACTCCCCTCCCCCCTCCCGGGGTAACAGGGGTTATTTAAACAACAGCTAACGGGGGCACTAAATTACCTGCTATAGCCCGGCACTAGATAGACAGATCACAAGAGCCACCAGCTTATTGTATTGTTACACAGAGAGGTCCACACCACTGCAAAATGAGAACCTGCTCAGCAGCTAAGGTGTTACAACCTCTCATTAGGTACCGCTCCACAGAGCAAAAACCACCTACCACACAACACGGCACAGCTCCTACCAGCATATAATAATTGTACAGTAAGCCTATACACGGCGAAACATTATGTTTCAGGACCAACCTCTAGGTTACTCATGTACATGCCGACAGCTATCGCCCCCCCCCCCAAACAGCCACACCAGCTACACTCACACTGTGCGACAGCTATGTGCCCGGCGAATGTTATCCTCATATTGTTTTAATGTTATATGCCAAACGTTCAACAACTTTATTGATGCCAAGGTTATTTCTTGCTTATTCCAACTCATAAAAGAAAATGTGCAGCTTTGTGTAATGCCACTGTGAAAAAAATAATGACCAACCCATGCGTGCTGTTGTGGCACTTGACAATTGCCTGTAACTACCTCTGCACAGAAAAATAAAGAATTTAAAAAAAAAAAAATGATTATTTTCCTAGTTTGTTACAAAATTGGAAAGTGCTTCAAACTGGGGGGGTGGGGGGTGGGGTTTCCTTCTTTTGGATCAACAGCAAAAACTGATTTGAGAAAGACTGAACTTGATGGACATATGTCTCTTTTCCGCCTATGTAAATATGTATCAATTCACACACACACAACCTTGCGGGAGGAGGAGGGAGCCGTGAGGATGGGGCCGGATCAGGAGAACAGGCCCCCGACTCCCACCAGCCACAGCCAGCAGAAGGTAAGAACCTGCTGGGTGGCTTAATTTCTTTTTAATATGTGTTTGTATGTGTGTGTGTGTAGGTGTGTAGCTGTGTGTACGTGTGTATTTGTATGTGTGTAATGTGTGTGTAGTGTGTGTATCTGTATGTAGTGTGGGTATCTGTGTGTTTGGATGTGTGTAATGTGTGTGTATCTGTGTGTAGTGTGTGGATCTGTGTATGTGTACCTGTCTGTAATGTGTGTGTATCTGTATGTGTGTAATATGTGTATCTGTGTGTATGTAGTGTGGGTATCTCTGTGTTTGTATGTGTGTAATGTGTGTTTGTGTGTGTGCATCTGTGTATGTGTGTAATGTGTGTTTGTGTGTGTATCTGTGTATGTGTAGTGTGTTGTGTGTGTGTGTATCTGTGTGTAGTATGTGTATCTGTATATCTGTTTCTGCATGTGTGGCAGTGTGTGCATCTGTATGTGTCAGTGTGTGTATATGTATGTGTCAGTAAATGTGTGTATGTCTGCGTATCTGCAGGTGTATCAGTGTGTCTGTACATCTGTATGTGTGTCAGTTTTTGATACATATACCAACACACATGCAGATGCACAGACACACATACAGTTGGACAGACACGCTGATACACATGCAGATATACAGACACACATACAATTGCACAGATATACTGATACACATGCATGTATACAGACATACAGCAGATACATAGACAAACAGATACAATCACTGACACACATACAGATACAGACACACAGATACAAACACTGACATACATGCATATACACAGACACAGTGTATAGGTAAGTGTATTGGCTGCAGTGCACACACAGACACAAGCTACATCCCCAGCATACACACAGAAACACACTACATCCCCAGCACACACAGACATATACTACATCCCCAGCACACAAACAGACACACACTTCACTCCCAGCACACACGCAGACACACACTTCATCCCCAGCACATCCACATAGAGATACTACCATTGCAGAAGCATATATATTTTTGATGGGTAGAAGGGGGGGGGAGCATTTCATCCTTGGACCCAGGCAGCACAATGTCTTGGGTATCCAATCACCTCTCCCAGATAAGCAAAGAATAAAAAGGGAGAATCTGTGGTTTGCTGAACATTGGAAACCGCTACCAGAGAGACTAGTAAACATGCAGAAGCACATAACAGCTTAGCAGACAAAGTCCAGGAATTGGACGACATTCTGGAAGTACACAGGCTAAAGCTAGCTGACATGGAGGATAGGGCAAGGCGGAACAATCTGCGGTTCAGAGGAATCCCAGAAACAATTACAAACGCCGAGCTCCAACATTATCTCTCAAAACTGCTCCAGAGCCTAGTACCAGAAATACACCCGGATCAACTATTAATCGACAGGGTGCACAGGCTGCGCAGACCGAAAACACCTGCCGCAAACTGCAGAGAGAGATGTAATCGCTAGAATACACTTCTTCCACGCTAAAGATAAGATCATGCGGGCTAGCAGAAAACCAGGTATGCCGAACGAATACAACTCCATCAAAATCTTCGCGGATTTATCAGCGGACACTCTCCAATTCAGGAAATCAATGGCGCCGATCACCTCCACCCTGCGGGAGCATGACCTGAATTACAGATGGGGATTCCCTGCCAAACTTCTGATCTCCCACCAAGGGGCCATACACGCCATCACGACCCTGAAGCAAGGCGTCCAGAAACTAAGAGATTGGGGGCTTCCCCAACCGGCGACAGAACCAACTAAAACATAAGTGCCCAAGATGTCACTGGAATGGACTGTCAAACGAAAGACTGCCCTTCCCCTGGAACACGCGTAACTATTCCATAACCACTGTGCAAGTTAAAATGCTAGAACTTTCAAGTTACAGGGCTATAGCTTAATGCTTACTTAGCCAAAATGTATTTGTTAATTATTGTTATACTTCAACCTACCTGACCTGCAACAAGCAGCAGTACTTGCTGGTTAGAATGCGGCGCTGCCCAATAAGCTTTTCTACTATTCCCCCACGGGGGCGCAGGCAAGATAACGGCACATACTAGCCATGATGCCATCCTATAGCGAGGCTGTGTTTAGAAGTTTATTGAGACTAACCCACTGTGAAGGCACATTTTAAAACATTGATGTCACCTTATAGCGAGGCTGTGTTTAGAAAATTATTAAGATCAGTTTAATGTTGTTCATGACATGTTAGTTTTGCAATTTGATGTTCAAATGCTCTTTTGGTTTCAGGTGGAGGCTTACTATGTGTAAAAACCTTATCACCACTACCCCCACTAGACAGGCCTATCTATTAGGCGAGTCTCGAGGCTCCACTCCTCGGAGCCAAATTGGGTGTGTCACCCACCAGTTTTTCCAGTTTTACCCCACCCACTTCCACCCTACCCATTCTCTCCCCCAGTCACGAACACAAAGTATGGCACAGCAGAACCGCCGCAGGCTTACCAAACTGACATACTGCAATGACCCAGCAGCACCAGTAGTAACCAAGCTCACGCTCCATAGCATCCCCTCCCTATATATACAACCATGGTTAAACTAATAACGTATAATGTAAAAGGATTGAACTCCCCGGGTAAACGCAGGCTACTACTGCAAGATCTGAAAAACGAGGACATAGACATCGCGTGTATCCAGGAAACACACTTCACCAACACCCGTACCCCTGCACTCTACACAAAAATTTATCCAACACAATACCACGCTACTTCTGATAAAAAGACGAAGGGAGTCTCTATTCTCATACATAAATCCATAGCATTTCAAGAAAAAGCAGTCTCTATAGACCCCCAGGGAAGATATGTAATACTAGTGGGTCTCTTCAATAATGTCCAATATACATTGGCCTCTGTATATTTCCCCAACACTGGCTCAGAACAATTCCTCAGACTCATCCTCAAAGAGATAGATAAGGTGAGACAGGGGGGATTGTTGATGTGCGGGGATTTTAACTTTATAATATCCCCGGACTTAGACTCCACAGCACTAAGAGGCCACGAGCAAATATAGTATCCAGGCAAAAAACTGTCTAGACTGACATTAGTATGATAGCTGGAGAATACTCCACCCAAGAGAACGGGATTACTCCTTCCACTCCAAAGTACATAGCACCTACACCCGCATAGACACCTACTACGTAGACCAATCTACATTACCACAAGTAGCCAAATGTACAATGGGAGACATTACGTGGTCTGACCACGGCCCGGTGTCCCTGGATCTATATGATAAATATCAGTTCAAAGGTAGAGGGAACTGGAGACTATTACTAAAGACCTTCAGAAGGTAAACATCAGCCTCGACCATCTGGTCGGCCCATAAGGTCGTTGTTCGCGGTTTATTTATTAGACAATCCTCATATCTTAAAAAGCATAGACAAGCGACCTTAATGGAATACCAACGGCAATTAACACAATTAACTACCCAAAATAAGGGTGCCCCTTCTCGAGCCCTAGCACTACAAATCCAAAATCTGCTAGATAAAATCACCGAATTACGAGCGGTCAAAACCTCATACATGTTACACAAGCTCAAAGCGACCCACTACCACCATAGCGGGAAAGCCACCAAACTAAACAGGCTGAGAGCAAAGCTGGCAGCCACCAAAATAGCGCATATTCAAGACCCAGAAGGTAACAAAATACAAAACCCAATGGATATCACTCAGGAGTTCGCCAACTATTACTCCAGCCTCTATAATTTGGGCGAAAGACCAGATACCCCCCCCATCCAGGACAGTAACATCACGGAGTTTCTAACCCGTCTACCCCTCCCCAAAATAAACCACCACCAAATAGAACAATTACTCCAACCTATTACTCTATCAGAAGTACTCCAAACAATAAGGAACCTCCCCCCAGGAAAAACCCCAGGAGCAGACGGCCTACCAAACCTGTATTATAAAACTTTTGCAGACATATTAGGCCCTAAACTTGTCCAAATATTCCAAGCAGCTTCTGACTCGGGAGAACTCCCTCCTGAGATGCTACTAGCAACTATAGTTACCCTGCCAAAACCTGGGAAACCCCCGGACCAATGTAAAAATTTTAGACCTATCTCCTTATTAAATACAGACGCTAAGATATACGCAAAAATCCTGGCCTCCAGACTGGGTAAAATCCTGCCCTCAATCATAGACGATGACCAAACAGGGTTCGTGATGGGGAGACAGGGGTTAGACAATACACGAAAACTGTCCCTAATTATGGAAAAATTGAGAAGATCAGGCCAAGGTGGGCTACTGTTAGCTCTGGACGCTGAAAAAGCGTTTGACCGCCTAGGTTGGTCCTTCTTGAAACAAGTCTTATCGACATTTGGATTCCCACAACAGTTCATTCAACAAGTATTCGCCCTATATTCACACCCAAGGGCTCAGGTACTACAAGCAGGCTTCAAATCAGACCCCTTTCGCATTACAAACGGCACCCGACAGGGATGCCCTCTGTCCCCCCTGTTGTACGTACTGGCCCTGGAGCCCTTACTAATAGCCATTAGATCCCATCCAGACATTGAAGGCGTAAATTGGCACGGCCGCCAAATCAAGATTAGTGCATTTGCGGATGATATCCTTCTATATGTTTCCCATCCTGTTACCTCCCTACCACACATAATGCACCTTATCGAGGAATATGGTGGTCTCTCATACTACTCCTTAAACACTTCCAAAACACAAGCATTAGGGTTACGCCTAGATCCCCCAGCCCTCACACAGCTACGTAAAACCTACCAATTCGAATGGCGCACGAACGATATTAAATACCTAGGCCTGACGTTCACCAAAAAAGCTTCCGACATGTTCCCAACTAACTACACCAAAGTATGGAATGAGTGCCTGACCTTGATAAGGGGCTGGGAAAAATTGTTCCTTACTTAGACGGAACGAATTGTGGCTATTAAAATGTCGGTACTACCGAAACTACAATATGTGTTTCGGAACCTCCCGTTAAAGGTACCACAATCTTACTTTAAAACCATACAATCGAAGCTACTGCAGTTTACCTGGGGAGCAAAACGGGCGAGAATTTCTTGCAAACTACTATCCGCACCAGTGAAACACGGGGGCATGGCGTTTCCAAATGTAAAAGCCTACTATCAGGCGGCAGCCTTAACCCCTCTATTAACACATTTGGTGAGGAACAACCAACCACAATGGGTACACCTAGAGAACCTAGCTGTTAAGCCCTTTGCAATCCACATCCTGACATGGCTGCACAAATCAAACAGACCAACTACACCGTTACTACCATTACAAGTACAACTAGCGTTACAGATTTGGGACACGCATAGGAGGAAGTTTGAGACAGCCAACCCCCTCTCCATGGCAACTCCCATAGAAGCCATAACATACTGCATCCCAACATTTCACGCAATGCCGTGGAAGGACAAGGGAATCTCACACCTAGCTCAGGTCTTTGAATCAGGCAAGCTGATGGGTTTTGACCGTCTTAACACGATCTTTAACCTGCCACACACATCAAGCTATTCATACATCCAACTTAAATCCTTTCTACATACACGTAATAAAGATAGTAGAAATGAGACTACAATTGCCAGTGCGCTATCGACCTGGGAACAAACAGGCATCACAGGCAAACTACCCCAGACCTTCAAACCCTTATCTGGCTGCTACAGACTTATTCTACCATACCAATCCCTTTCTGACTCCACTCCAGCACACCAATGGGAAATGGACCTCCAAACTCCCATCACTGAGAAACAGTGGTCTTCTATCACATCTTCCACTAGAAAATTGATCAAATCTGCTCCCCTTATAGAACAACACCAGAAAACAATATATCGGTGGTATATGGTGCCGCTACGTATACACTGGACCTCCACACCACGCCTCCCATCACTGAGAAACAGTGGTCTTAACTGATCACATCTTCCATCTAGAAAATTGATCAAATCTGCTCCCCTTATCAGCTAACAACACCAGAAAACAATATATCGGTGGTATTATGCCGGACGTATAGGTGTACCGCGTACGACGTGTGGAGATGCAAACAAGAGAAAGACTCGGTCCTCCACATTTGGTGGAAATGTCCACGCCTAATCAGGTATTGGGAAGACACAGGAAAAATCATTGCAGATACTACCACCATCCACCTACCCTTTGACCCTAAGACCTTTTTACTGTTAGATATACCCAGAGAAACACCCACACAAGCGAGAAAATTAATGTACCACGTCCTGCTAACCGCACAAAAACTGATCGCACGACTCTGGAAAACAACAGACACCCCTAGCATTCCTGCCCTCATCCAAGACATAGACAAGCAAGCTATTTACGAAACAAGCTTTTCCAAAGCGCAGAATAGCACCAAATGTAGTGGTAGCACATGGGAACAGTGGCGAGCTTGGAGAAAAGCTAACGCACAACACGTACCCACCAATCACAACTTAAAATAACAACTCAACTAACCACAAAAGCTAAACGCAGGTAGACTGGGGGTGGAAATCGCCTCAAGAATGTGGGGAACACTATTACGTCTGAGAGTAGTATACAGCAGACTGGGACCTAGGAATGGGTAGTAAGCCTAGATAGTCGGATCATTTGTACTGTGATGCATAAAGAGATCAACCGATTACTGTGCGCTGTTGAGCCGCCTCAAAGGCCTGCAAATGTCAACTGTCAATTGTCAATTTTTATATATTCCTAACCGACATAGGATTCGATGTAAAGTGACTGTACCCCCCCCCCTTTTTCCCACCTCCCTTCTCTTTTTCTGTACCCAACCCCACCCACCCCTCGTTTTTTTTGATGTGAAAACCAATAAAATACAAATTTCAACAAAAAAAAATATGCAAAACTTGTTTCTTGATATTGCAGTAGAGGTTTTCCAGGAGATCCTCATTTATCAGCTGTTCATTTCATTGCCCCTTTTATGTATCTCAGAATTTTCCAATTGCACCCCATATTAATGTATTCTACATTCCACTTGTAGCATTTCTTACATCTTAGTTTTGGTAAAGTTTATTGCTTCATTTAAACTGGACTTCTGTTGACTCTTAGGAACTGAATGCACATATAGAGAAAGGCATGGGCCGAAAACTAGCTGATCGTTGCTCCAGTGCAGTGAATTCATCCATACAGAACGCACAAGAAGACATAATAGGTAAGCTTTGTATATAATGCTTTGTATGCGTGTGTCTATACACATGTATATTCACATAGCCACTTTTTTTTAATTTTTTTATTACATTGATGTAATTTGTTTTCTAAATTTATTTTGTGTGTGACTTTATTTACTTCTTGTACATATTCTATATATGTTCAATGTTGCAAACAAGATCCTTTTTAGTATACACTCTATTGGGACACCTGACCATTACACCAAACGGCACTTTTATGACATTGCATTCTGGATACATATACAGGGATGAAAGTTCTTATTGTAAAGGTGGCATCCTGTCACAGTACCATCTTCAACTCACGGAGTTCTAAAGAATGACTAATTTTTTCACAAATTTTTATAAATGCAGACTGCATGGCTAGCTGCTTGATTTTATTCACCTGTGGCAATACCTGTGATTGAAACACCTGAATTAATTAATTAAGAGGTGTGTCCCAATACTTTTGTCTAAAAGTGTATATTGCCAAATAACCTTGTGCATGTTTTGTTTGACAGAAAAGCTGAAGCCTTTGCTGCCCTCCAGTGTTGAAAAAGAAATTTACACATCCTTACCATGTAGAAAGTTTGATCTCAGCTACAATCTAAACTGTGATAAGTTGTGCGCGGATTTCCAAGAAGACATTGCCTTTCGCTTTTCCTTTGGCTGGACATCACTTGTTAATCGATATCTGGGGGAAAAGAATGCCCGCCTCTTATTGGCATTTGCAGAACCAACATTACAGGTAGTCACTTTATCCTAACTAGATCTATAATCATGCAATGATCTAACTTCTCCTCATCTAATTATCTCTCCACCTTCGCATTCAGTATCAAGTAAGTAGAAAACTGCAGGATAGTAGGGGCTATCATTTCTTAACTTTTCAATAAGTTGTAATTTCTGCACAGTCTTTGTACAACTCGACCAATAGTGAACTTGCCAAGCATTAACCAAGTTATTAATGAGGGTGTGGAAAAAAAAAACACAACTATTTATCTTTTTCAAGGTACCTCGGCCAGTCACTACCCCTTCTGCAAATGGTATGCCTGCTATGTCACCACAGTCTGCAACCCAGGAGGAGCTCATGTTCTCATTAATGTCTGGCTTGGCATCACTAACGTCAAGGGGGTCCGTGGGAGTCATTATAGTAGGAGGAGTGGTAAGTACTGAAAAAATAAAATACTTAAAAGCTCCAGCTGACTTTTTCTGTTTGTGATGTAAAGTTATTTAAAATTGAATAACATATTGGATACTTTGGCAGAAATTTTCTTCATATTACAAAAAAATACCATCCTTTATAATCTCTCTTGTGGAAATACAACCTGGTTAGCAGTTTTGAGCCTTTAGTTCTTCCCTGTCCAAGTACTTTAAAAGAGGAAGGACTTTTTGCTTGAACTTTGGAAAAGTCGTTGAATTAAATCCAAATTCTTGTGATGGCATTCTTACTTGTTTTCTACCCAAACCATCTTAAATATTATATAGAATATCTTAAGGATACAAGTCTAAAGTGTTAATGTAGATTAAAGTGTGCCCACAATTATGTGATACTTTGTAATGGTATGTATGAAAGCCTTAGATTAGATGTGCCTGTGTTAAAATCCATTGTCTTGTCTTGTTTACATTTTGAAATTTCTGTTCCTTTACAACAGTGCACCCCTAAACAATAACATATTGTATTAAAGGCAGTGCAGAATATTGTAATATGCCAACATTGTCTATTGTAGAAGTCCCAGGAAAACCAGCTATTTGCATTTTTAGGCATATGTGTTGTTGATGTGTTATTAGTAAAGTCTAATATTTTTAATTTCCTTGGATATTTTTACAGATTTGGAGAGCTGTGGGCTGGAGGCTGATAGCCGGTTGTTTATTGGGTTACGGTGGATTATACTTGTATGAGAGGCTAACGTGGAGCACAAGAGCAAAGGAAAGAACATTCAAACAGCAGTTTGTAAACTATGCTGCCAAAAAACTGCACATGATTGTAAGCATCACGAGTGCAAACTGCAGTCACCAAGTTCAAAAGTAAGTGATTTCAGCTGGGGTCTATATTGTTTTTTAACATGAACCTTGGTAGATGCTTAGACGCTTGGATGTTGAAATTTGTAAATTTTCTTCACATATGTTTATGTTCTGTGCAGAGAGCTGGAAAACACTTTTATCCATTTATGTCAGCAAGTTGATATCACAGAAAGAGAACTCATCAAGTCAATCAATAACCTAACTGATGAAATAAAACAGCTGGAAGGGATCCAGAGCAACTCCAAGGTTTTAAGGTATGGAAGCTGTGTAAAATGTTATACAATATTGATGGTAACAAGATGTTAGGTGCTGTTTTATTCATGTAATTGTTTACAAACCCCATGCTTTAGCTCAGGATGTATGTGTTTTGGATGGGTTTTATGTTAGTTTGTTTTGGGTTGGAGGAGGTGTGTGGATTTGTGTTTTTATATTTTGTTTTATTTTTATCTATGGTTATTTAAGGGTAGAGATAGTGGGTATTTCTCTTAAGCCTTTGTGCAGTGGTATGTACCCACACACTTACAACTTTTTATTTCTGAATTCTGAACTAAAGAGGGTTGAGAGATTTTTGTGCTATCTTTCCGTTAGTCCCATGGACTCTTCCTTTAAAAAATAAAATAAAAAAATGAATCAAAAATATTACACAAAGGGAATCTGTTAGGAAAGTGTTGTGACAAACCTCCTTCAGGTCTCAATGGAAATCCTTAAAGTAACTTTGCTTGTATGCTAGTAAATCTTATAGATTGTTTTTTTTTTTTGTTTTTTTTTTTATAATTGTTTTAATATTTTTATTCTGCAGAAATAAAGCAACACACCTCGAAGCTGAACTAGACCAGTTCATCAAGACATTCCTTCACCAGAGCAAGTAAAGTCACAGTATGCAGTGGCTGATGCCCAGCCAAGTTGGGAACATGACTTGAAGAGCTAAGGGGATACTGAACGTATGCAAACTCGTTATCCTTGTTAATATCTTCCTTTTGTTAGTCTGCTCCAAACACAGGGAACTATACACAGTGGAATAATCTAGGCTTTTGGAACTGCAAGACATGCAGTTTGAGAAAATGGTACAATATGAAAAGTACTGGAATATCGAATGGACTGAACTTTAAGACTGTGTATGAAGTGCACATAAAGGTACAACATATAACAGTTACTAGTTTTGGCAGCCATTGATCTTCGTATCAAAGATCCAGTATGGTTATTGATATCAACTGAATTTTTTTTTCGACCTAGATTAATATGAATGTAGCTGACCTATAAAAGTTCTTAAAGTCCAGTCATTCACGCAAGTTGATACCATTATATAAATAGTTTTACTTTATTTTCAAAGGAGACTTTTATTAATGTTTCTCTTTTTTTTTTTTTCTTTTTTTTTTTTACACAGTTGCTCTTTTATTTGAATATCGTTTCCACATACACCATTGTACTAAAATGTGATCCAAAGTTCAGAAATAGTATTATTTACAAAATAATGTATTTATTTCAATGCACACAATATTATCAATTGCCTAATGCAGGACTTAGTGTTAAGCTGA